GTAATTAATTCAGAAAATCTTTTCAGGACCCCACCTTGATGTTTCGGGACCCCACTTTGGGTCCTGACCCCAACTTTGGGAAACACTGTCCTAGAGTGATTTAAATAGATTGTGTGACTAGGACATGCAGGGGTCCAGGGACTCCAGGGGATTAATCGTTATCGGCTAAATACCGCAAATAATCGTGATTATATTTTTTGCCAATATTGCCCAACTCTACACTAGTTCATGAAATATTCAGGTAATAGACAAAAAATACTGATTTGAAAGTATTTCTCAGATGATTGGGATGTGTAATATTAATATAGGCAAAGATTACTGTCAAAGTGAGATGAGGTGAAGAAAGGACTGGTGGAGTGGTGGAGATGTAAGCAGAAGGAGGCACAAGTGGAGATCTTCTCACCTCCCTATCAGTTGGTGCCTGACCTGGTTATGTGGAAGTCATTACTCAGCACTGTCACACAGGAATGCTCAAACACACACACTTACGTGTTGATGCTCAACATGAAGGGATTCCTACATCAGAGGGAAGTCTTTAAACACAGCAGGAAAATGCATGCATTTTTATGTGAAATTTTTATTTCTTTTTTTAATTTCGAGCTTTTAAATTCAAGATGTTAAATTTGAGTCTGATTGTTAGACAAACAGTTTAAATCAGCTGCAGAGATATAAAGATGAATGACTTTAAGATTCTCCATCTAATCCATGCACATTTAGAGATGTTAGTGTTTGAGCATGTAAACCAGTGCTTTACGTCACAAAGTGAACGTAAACAAGTTTGAGAAACACTTCAGTCAGCAATTTTAATACATCTCATTGATGTTTTTGTCTTGTCAGTATAAAACACACTGGCAGCAAATGAATTTAATATGAAATATGTTAGTTGTTTTTTTTTTGTTTTTTTTACAGTTTTAAAAAAGTACTTGTTTTGCTTCACGTGTTCGTCATTTAATGTGTAAAATCAGAAGCATTGGGACAAATGTTGCAAACATTCAGCCAAATTTTAAATTGTCTCAAGAAATTGCGGAAAAGTGCTGAGGTCCACAAAATGAGAATAATAAATAGATAACATATCGTACTTCGTGACTTTTCACAGAAAAGTTTAATTCAATTAAATAATTACACTGAAGCACACTTTTAAATATAGTTGTCATGCTGGGAATGTGTTTTTGCAGCTGCTCTGTAGGTCTATTATGCTGCTTCTCCTCATGCTTTCCATAATCAAATTGGGTCTCAGTGCTTGTTTGGCTCTGGTTCTGTGCTTGCTTTTATCTTGACGCTGGCCTTAGTGAGACAAAGACGTGTCCTTTGTGTTCACAACATCTTGTGTTAATGTTTTGTAGACACCTTCTAGTAGATTCTTACCTTTTAAAAATTACAGAAGAAGAAGAAGGTCCGAGGAAAGCTACAGAAATCTGTTATTAAAGTTTTCAATGACACTGCCCCGTCTTCATCAGATTATGGTTTCTTCATCATGATGTTGTCTTGAACAGGATATGTCGTGATGAAAAGGGAGCTGAGCCGAAAGGCGTAGCTTTTAATTTACTAATCAGTCKACATTCCAGCAGTGCTGCAGCAGGACATCAAAGGGCCAGTACTCACAAAAAAGTCTTGTGTTCTCACTGCAAATCAATATCATGCTATAATCATCGCAGTTCAAGCCAATTASCTCGCACAAACGAGTCAAACGAAAAGCATTTCAAAGCTCACACAGCAGTTTTCACTGATGCAGAACTTGTTTGTGTCATGCTATCTGAACCCAGTTTTATCAAATGTTGACCCGTGTCACACGGTACCACGTCAGATTTTAAAAAAAAAAGCCGAACTATAGGTGACTTTTGCAGCTGGAGAATCTCATACTTCACAAAAAATCACAGTGAAACGTCAACCCTTTTCTAATTCTTTCAAAACCAAAGTTTTTGTCTCACCTAACCGTATGCACCTTACATTTTACTTACAGTTTAAAGTTGACTTACAGTAATGATCCTCCTCTCAGAAAAATACAAGCCTACACCCACTCGTGCCTCTAATTTGCTCCTTTGTGTCCAACGTTTAACCAGATATTGTTTCTTGTGAGTCACGTGTCACCAGATCCGCTAAATTTGACCCAAAGAAGCATTGCGAAACAGCTCACGACTTCCTGTTTTCAGCCGATGTCTCGAGGGTAACAGAGTTATTATGAATCGGCTGCAACTCACAGATGGTGACACYGATGCTGAGTGCAGGGCCGCTTTATAATACATGGTGGTATGCTATGAAAAGAGAGGATGAAAGTTTAGAAGGGTCAGTTTTGCATACCTGTTGATACCTAATTAATTGGAGCACTGTAAAGACCAAAAGAAGCGGAAATGTTCKGCCACAAAATGGATCAACTCATCCTTAAGTAATTGGTGAGGAGCTCATCTATTCAGGAGGTGCTTAGAGTGGAGTCGTTCCTCCAAGGAACCAGCTGGGGTGGTTTGGGCACCTGGTAAGAATGTSTGGTGGATGCCTTCCAAGAGAGGTGTTTTCAGACACGTCCCATTCCGCGAAGACCTCGAGGCAGACCCAGAACTAGGGTTGGGCAAAATYGTGTTGTGTGCAATTAATCGTCTGTAAAACTGTCCACAATTAACATTTGCCACTTTGCATTTACTGCAATTAGTGACATGTTATGACGTATTTTTGTGAGCGACACACTGTCAGGCGCGCATKTGAGCCCAATGGTGGAAACCAGGCTGCATGAAGTGGCTAACCCTTACTCTAGGGACTTGTTTAACCATCGGAAACACCAGCATAAACCGGAGTACGAGGAAAGATGGAAAATCGAACCAAGATGGAAACGTCGGCTACACGCACATGCAATTGTCCTTTACTAATCATCATATTACTGTTATCGGCTAAATGCCACAATTTATTGTCATAGATTTTTATGTCAACATTTCCCAACCCTATAGAACTCCAGATTTTATCTCAGTGGAACACGTTGCAGTCCCTTTGGATGGAGGGACTAGTGAGAGGGGATGTCTGAAGATCTCTACTTAAATTGTGTCTGAATCTCAGAAAATATGGTGAAAAACGAATGACTGCATCGGGATCAGAGTGGACACGAGTTGTAAAGCTGCAAAACAAAACAAGTTGGTTGTAAAACATATTTAAATTGCATGC